GTATATTTCCTATGTAAAATTTTGATCGCCCATTGCGGCCCCACCATACCCCCGGGGGTCATGATTTGAACAAACTTGAATCAACACTACCTGAGGATGCTTCCACATAAGTTTCATGTTTTCAAGCACAGTGGTTCTTGAGAAGAAGATTTTTTAATGATGCCATTAATTTTTCACGAATTCTTAATTATCTCCCCTTGGAAGAAGGCGTGGCCCTTCATTTGAACAAACTTGAATCCCCTTTACCCAAGGATACTTTGTGGCAAGTTTGGTTGAAATTGGCCCAGTGGTTCTTGAGGAGAAGTCGAAAATGTGAAAAGTTTACAGACGGACAGACAGACAGACGGACTACAGACAAAATGTGATCAGAAAAGCTCACTAGAGCCTTCGGCTTAGGTGAGCTAAAAATTACAGATCCTTGTTGGCCTAGAATCATCAAACTTTGTCAGTTGATTGAAAATTAAACGAGACTTACCAGTAGTAGGGTATATACTGTGCAGTCACTTTACAGTCAAGATGACGTCATGGGGATTCCCAGGTCCCACCCACACAGGTCATAATTTAGGTCACAATTCAGGGGTGACTTTACAGTCAGGGGTGACTTTACAGTCAAGGTGTACTCTACAGTCAGGGGTGACTTTACAGTCAAGGTGTACTCTACAGTCACTGATGTTATCAATTGGTGAAATGATATTGCAGATCTTTACGAAATGACATAGCAACGCTCAGGAAAATGACATTGTAACTTTTAGAGAAATGACAATGCAGCTTTAGAACATTTTGGGGAATGACATAGCAACTTGCAGATCTTTACGAAATGACATAGCAACACTCAGGGAAAATGACATTGTAACTTTTAGAGAAATGACAATGCAACTTTAAAACATTTTGGGGAATGACATAGTAACTTGCAGATCTTTACGAAATGACATAGCAACACTCAGGGAAAATAACATTGTAACTTTTAGAGAAATGACAATGCAGCTTTAAAACATTTTGGGGAATGACTTAGTAACTTGCAGATCTTTACGAAATGACATAGCAACACTCAGGGAAATGACATTGTAACTTTTAGAGAAATGACAATGCAGCTTTAAAATATTTTGGGGAATGACATAGTAACTTGTATGGAAATTACGATGCAACTTCTAAAGAAAGTTGTACCCAGACAACTTTATGATTACACCAGTATAAAAAGTCCAAGTTTTCACAAGCTTTTCACAGTCAAATTTCAGATGTAAAGGGAAAAGATCACCAAACACTTTATCATCTATAGGTATGTTTATTTTCACACAGTATAAAAGTTGTTTTTAAATCTATATAACAAAAGTGATGAAAAAATCTTTTTATAAAGTATAAAAACTACGTAACATTCTTGTAAAATCTATCCTTGTGAAATTCATCATTACAGTTCTTTGCCTTAAAGAAGTTCATTTCTTACAAATTCATCACCACAACTTCTCTATGAACAATTATAAAGAAGAAAACTTCACATGTTTTCTGGCAGGTCCAGCTGAGCATTCAAATTTATCCTCTAAATGGTTAATTATGATGGAGCTTTGCTGCATATCCTCAGCCATTCTCTTATGTAAATTCCTCAATATATTAAATTGTTCGTTCACATTTTCCTTCAATGGCTGGCGCATCTTTTTCTCCAGTGCGTTATATTTTTCAGGATGCTTTCTTCTTTATGAAAAAAATGAAATTATACATTTTTAATTAGGTTTGGTCATACATTAATCAAATGAAATATAAATACGAGTCTTTAACCGTGGGTATATAAAAACAGATGTTTCGTAGAAAAAATACTCTTTACTGAAACTAGAGTTATCACTCTACACTCAAAGGTTGTAACTAAATAATACAAAGAAAAGACCTTACCTAAAGGAGGTGAGGATAGAATCCTCCACATTTTCAAACGATCCCTCGCCCGTTTCTTCGTCAACAACAACTGGTGGCCAGTTTTCATCAGCTGGAGGGGAGTACTTGGGTGTTGAGGACGGCGGGACGACGGGGGTTGATGGTTCTAATGTAATGAATGTCTTGCTTTCATTTGATGCACTGAAAAATATTTGAGAAAACAAACATACACTTTTGTTGATCTTAAAACATCATTTGTAGCTTAATCATTTAGGAATAATCGATAATTTATATATATAATATATCACCTAGCAAGACTAAATCTAAGTGTGGTAAGAACGATAACTCTAATTGTAAAAGTTCCATCCTTTCAAAAGTGTTTGCATCGACAGGTTTGATTGTGACCGTTCTTTGAGGAGAAGGGGGGGGGGGGAATCTTCATTTTCAAGATCTTTTCCCATCTGTACCCATAGAGCCTCAAACTCTTCGAAAGAGTTGGCGGAGTTTGTAAGATCTCTGAAATAAAAAAAAACAGAATGACTAAAAATGTAATGATAGGTAAATGGACACATCTTAGTGATTGAAATGATCATAAATAACCATAGTTCAGTAACGACAATAGTGAAGTACACCAAATTTACAGGAATTGTACATAATTAGAAGCTGGCCCTCTTGCACTCGGGACTTTCGTGAAGAGTTATCTACTTGTGATAAAATTGAGAAAAATCTAATTTTCTGAAAATTTACATCGTAAAAGATAAATTTTAATTAATATCCTGATAGAGAGGAAGTATATGCAACTTTCTACCAAGAGATTTATTTGAAAAATTTAATTTCCTCTAAAGATATCAGAATTAAATGCACTCTTCCCATAAATTTCAATGTTAAATCAAAAGATGAGATGCTTCGAGTATAAATCAAAATTCTGAAAATTCCTATGGTGGATAATTTTCATTTGATAAGCCCTTCAAATTGATATCAGGTTCACAAAAAAAAATCCTACTAGACATATTGGTCATTATACATCGGATATCTGAAGTTGGTCCACAACGATCTTTTTAAAAGTTAAAATTGAGAATCGTTATCAATTAACAACATTAGATTAAGATATTATCTACTTACAGAAAGTTGAAAATTTCGTCTGCCATATTTTTCTCTCACTAGTACTGCTATCTTTCTTCTTCTTTTTTTTGGTGAAAGGTACCGTTTAAGATTACTCCTCCCAAATTTTTACCCATGGGGAGGAAGTAAGTAGGCGGAAAAGTTATACAAGAGAAATGGCATATAGTCTGTTAGGGTGTTTGTCATGGTTACATTGCTATTTTTTTAAGGGTGGATATGAAGAAAAGTAATTAATTTCATAAATCATATGTGAAATGTAAATTAGAGGGGTGAGCGTACACCCTGGATGTAGGAGACAACATATTTCATTACGAAATATTATGGGGGTGTTGTGAAATTTCACTTTATGACGTGACCGTCACGCTTACCTACGCACTCTGACTTGCATTTTTTATTGTATACGTAACTTACGTTTATTTTGGTGATGATATTTCTAATATGATAAAATATTGAGTATGTTGATTAAGAAAACCAACAAATCAGAAAAATATTAAAAGAAAAAAGTAAAACCAGAAATATATACGAAATAGCTCATCATCTGTCGTACTTAATCTCTTCAAATGAAAGCGGGCAATTCTAAATCATTTTAAAAATTCCGCTTTTTCACGATACACCTGCGCACAAAGGTAGTGTAGCGTGTCCTGACATGACCTAGTATCAGGTGTACTTCAATAAGTGCAAACGTCATGGCTTTTATCTGTGTGTGTCACGACCCTTTTGATACATGTATATCCATTTGAAGTTTTTAAAACGTCAATTGAATAATTAACTGTTAATCATACATAGTTAGATGATAATTTACCTTTCATCATTTTTCTGTTAAAGCCATATATTGCGTATGTACAATGAAAATTATTATTAAACTAAAATTATAAGAACTTATTATTTGTATCATTACTTTATATAAAGATAGAACTTTTCCGTAAATTACAAAATCTAAGTCAATTGCGTTATACAGATATCAGAATTTAATTTGGATTCTCGGAATTTTCTCCGACTTGGATTGATTGATTGATTGTATGTTGTTTTACGTCCCATTCGAGAATTTTTCACTCATATAGAGACGTCACCTTATACCGGTGAAGGGCTTCAAATTTTGACCTTTACTCGGCACTCAGGGCCATTGAGCAGTGAGGGATCTTTATCGTGCCAACGCCTGCCGTGACACGGGGCCTCGGTTTTTAAGGTCTCATCCGAAGGACCCGCAACTTTCACTTCAAAGTGCCGAGCGCATGGCGAAGGAACAGTTGCTACCTATTTTTTATCGACTTAGGTCTGTCGCGGCCGAGATTCGAACTCACGACCTCCCGATCACGGAGCGAGCGCTCTACCGACTGAGCTACCGTGAACGGTTTCCGACTTGGAAGAAAATGCGAAAGATTTAAATAACACATTACAGAGAAGATAAGGTCGTATTATTAGCTGAAACGAGGTGTTTTCCGTGTTCAGAATTGTATGAAAAGTTTTAATTTAAATGTATTAACTATATTTACTTAATTTTGTATTTTTCAAAAATATATTTTTTTTTGATCAGTTACGCCATATATGGCTTTAACTAAGAAAAAAAAAAATCAAATCACTTCCCAGTTTAGATCACTTTCCAGTTAAAGTTGCCTTCATAGATTTAGAACAATATGGGTCTGTTTGGCTAATTTAAAAACAACTTAATCTAATTACTAATCTGAGTCACTCTAACATTTCTGTCATCCAGTTTAATAAAGTGGCGCCACTCTCTAAATGATCTGTATTGTCGCGCCCTCATGTTGGAGTATATTTTCCAAATAAGGTTACATTTTGATCACATGATGATGATCACGGGTAAAAATCCCGTGCAATTTTCGCGGCATTGGAAAGGTAGATAGCAATGGATCAAGACGTGAGAATGAAGATCGCGATCATTGTCTGGTTATTTCCATTAAGCCTAGTTTGCGGAACCATTTTACCATGTCAATTGTGTACAGGAGTGCACGGGGTGTACACTTGTACAGCTGCAACTACATGCGTGCGATTAATAAAGAATGAACTCGAGCCTGCGCCTGTAAGGGAAATCTGATTGTTCAGCTGCGCTGTTAGGATTGTCGGATGGGACGGACGACTGCCTTTAATAAGGGACAGGGACGGCAAAATCTGCCATCGTGAGTATTTTTTTTTTTTAAATATCAACCCCTCTTACTTCATCTTATTTGATCCGCTAAGGTGCTTTTACTTATGAATTGGAAAAGTTGGAAGGCACCGTGGGAAAGAGACTAATCACGTGACTAAAGTAGACCCAATAGAAAGGAATGAAATTTTACTATGGAATGTGGGGGTCATCTCATAAGTCGCTAGAATTTCTTTTTTTTAATATATATATATATTTCCGGTAGTTATAGTAAGATAATTCAGTGATTCATTTTTCCTTGCGTGTCGTGTATTTCACGCAATTTTGTAAGAAAACTACGTGGCAAAAAATATATGAAACGTTTGCTAGGTATAAAATTTGCAAATTCTATGTAGCCTAGAAGCGTAGATGTTACAGGCAAAATTGTTTATCTGTCCTTGTCTGACTCTGTGACTTGAGTTTTACACTAAGTCACATCATTCACTTACATTGTAAAATGTTTATCTTGTATTAGGGGATGTTTATCAATACTAGCAAATCGTTGTTTTATGCTAAAGCAAGTTTATCAATACTAGCAATCGTTGTTTTATGCTAAGGCAATATTTATGTAAGTATTTTTTTTTAATTCATTTTATTTAACACTTTTTTTTTGTAATTTCAGAGAAAACTCGGCCTACAGTAAGGACAACCCTCAGGATCCAAACAACAACTCGGCCTTCAGTAAAGACAACCCTCAGGATCCAAACAACAACTCGGCCTTCAGTAAGGACAACCCTCACGATCCAAACAACAACTCGGCCTTCAGTAAGGACAACCGGCAGGATCCAAACAACAACTCGGCCTTCAGTAAGGACAACCCGCAGGATCCAAATAACAACTCGGCCTTCATTAAGGACAACCTGCAGGATCCAAACAACTCGGTCGTCAGTAAGGACAACCCTAGCAATGAGATACAAGGGCAATACAGTGGATCACAGTAAGTGTTTCAGTTAGATAAATTTTAATGTGTATGGAATTTCAGTGGACAAAGTAACACCCATATAATTTCCAATCATTTTTGAATAAAAGGTAGTATTAGTTTTTGCCAAGGAAAATTATATTTTATGTAAAAGAATATAAATGATTTGTGGAATTACATAATTTGACAAAGATTATGCAATGCTCATTGTTCATTGTAATAAAACATACATAACAGATGTTGTGGTATTAAAATTAATTCAGGTATGAAGTAATCTTTTCATTGTAGGATCATTCAAGCCAGATGATGATGATGATGATGACAGTCTCTTTGATGAGTCTACAGAATCAGGTCAGCGTGTAATCATACTCTTGTGCATTAATATAGGGATTTGTATTTTCATTCTAGTAGTTGTGCTAATTTCTATCAAAGAATATCTTAAAAAGGTTGGAAGTAAATTAAAAAAGAAGAAAAATGTGTCATCAGTTAGAAAAAAATATTTAAGAGAGAGAAAACCACCAGGCATAAACCAAAGAAGTTACCCTCAACAACTGAAATAGAGTTGAGCAGAATACAATCTCTAATATCTTCTGAATCAGACAATGACTATGATTCTATATTTGATGCCTCCAAAGTTTAAATGATCTATGCAAGTTAACTGAAGTACAATATTGCATGTAGTTATTTTACTAAATTATTTCGAATGGATTTTAAATGGATAAAGTATAGAAAGACAGCGATATGTGTAATTGATTTGAATAAGTAGTGGGTACCAGTTATATCATTATTTTGCTGAAATACTTAAAATATTTGTTAACAATATTTTTTTTTTTGTACTAAGGGTTTTAGTATGGGCAATTACCTCCACATTGACCATAATCATCTACCTTCTTAAAAGATATTTAAAGAGATTCTGTATGTCCCATACAAGAAACAGTAGTGACACTCCTGATACACACGAGCACATTCCTTTACCAGACCTTTCAGCACACCCACCTACCGATGCCACACCTGATGCGAGTCATGGAGTAGGTCAACCTTCCCAATCGACACCGGACACATCTAATTATAACACCCCACAATCCTCCACTAAATTATTGCCTGATGCACCAGCGCATAACACGAGATCGAAAGCAAAGGGAAAAGTTTTATTTCATTAAGGATGCATTTTTGAACATTGTTGAACAATTGCAGATTCTGTCAAGCTAGTGTTCCTTGCTTTGATTGCTACCATGTGATTAGTGTTTATTTTTTTGACTTTTAATAATTGACAAAAAGCTGTTAATTTTGTCTTGTAGTTATATGTTTTTAGTTGGATTTAATGATGTATGTCCTGTATGAAGGAAAAATACTTTGAGATTTTTTTTTAGAAAAAAAAAAGATGAATGTTATACTGTCTTTTTTTTAAATTCTATTTTTTCTGATTATGTGGTTGAAATCAGAAATTTTTTTTGATTTTGGTTATTAATACTCATTAACATGTGTGTATTTTTTAAATGATTTTATTATGATAATAGAACTGGGATTTTTACCATTGAAGTTTATGGAAATGTTCAGAATCTTGTGTAGATGTTTAAAAAGTGATTTTTTTTTTTTTTACATATTATAACAATTGGTATCTGGAAATACCTGATCAGTATTAATTAGAATACTTTTTTAAATTAAACTGTTGATTTAAAAAGGTATGTCCTGTATTGAAGGAAAATACTTTGAGATTCTTTTTGGAAAAAAAAAAGATGAATGTTATACTGTCTTTTTTTTTTAATTCAATTTTTTCTGATTATGCAGTTGAAATCAGAATTTTTTTTTGATTTTGGTAATTAATACTCATTAACATATGTGTATTTTTTAAAATGATTTTATTGTGATAATAGAACTGGGATTTTTTACAATTGAAGTCTTATGGAAATGTTCAGAATCTTGTGTAGATGTTTAAAAAGTGATTTTTATGTTTCTTTTTTTTTTTTTTTACATTTTATGACAATTGGTATCTGGAAATACCTGATCAGTATTAATTAGAATGTTTTTTTAAATTAAACTGTTGATTTTTTTTATATGATTTTTTACAATTGAAATTTACAATTGTACTGTGATTTTTATGTATTTTTTTATGCTCCTTGAAAAAATGTTCAGGGAGATAAGTTGTCCGTTTGTCTGTCCGTCAGAGCTCATATATCCCATAACCGTCATGGAAATTCAATATTTTCGCTTAAATGATATTCATGATATACACTTTAAATGAAAGGGAATTCAAGGTCATCTGTTCAAGGTCAAATATCCCCCCCCCAAATTTTTTTTTTTTTGATAAAAAAAATTAAATTTAATTTCTTGTCATTTGAAATTTGGTTTACAGCTTAAGAAAATGATTAACTCTATAGCATATATTCTAGGTTTTTACGGTCTACTCACTAAGAACATTATCCTTATTTTATGAGGGAAAAAATTGTTATTTTCAATGTGAAAGTAATACAAAAGCAAATTTGATGCACAATATGTGCATTTAAACAAATGTCTAGTCAGTGATGCTCAGTTATTGGACCCTCAGGACAAAATCTCTCTTGGTCATTGATTTCATGTCATCTAGGGAGTATCCATCAGTTTTATTGTTCTTTTTATTTTATTTTTTATGACAGCATTGAGGTACATTTGAATATACTTTGTTGGAATACTTTTTTGATTATACAGTTGATTTTTAGCATACAGTTTACATGTTTACAATTGAATATACCAATCAAAAGCTGTGAATTTAAATAAAAGTTTTTGGAGTTGAAAAAAGGCTTTGTTTTTCTTTGGATGAGTTGTGGTGTAACAATATATTATAATTATACATTGTTGAATTATAGGTTATCATTTTGACAATACATTTTCAAGAAATTCATAAACAATCTGAATTTTTAATTTAGAACATGTCAGACGGTAGTCTCCTCAAAGAAATCCTGGACTCGTTGACAGACCCAGACACCATACAGTTGTTTGCAATAGCCAATGGTCTTGTTGGTGACGCCGAAATCGAGAACCGATTAAGAGAACTCCAGCATGAAAAGGAACTTAAGTGGGGAAAGCACATAGACGACTTATGGCAAGAGGTTCTCTCTGCCATTGAATCTCCTGCAAAAAAATCGAGACTTTCCATCGATGACGACCAGCTGTCAACGAGTGCCCAGTCAGGGGGTGGGGAGAGTTCCGATTCTGGGGACCCTTTAGAAAAACCCTATTACATCTGGAAAAGAGATACTCGAACGTTTAAGAAAAACGTGGCCCGCGACACAACGTTGAAGGTGAAATTTAACGAGCAATGGCGGGGGGTTAAATTGATAGATATTCAAAACAAATTGCACAATATGTTTCATGACTTGTTATCGCAGGCCAGGGGTCACGATGCCGATCTGGGGAGGGTGGTCCTCAGTCATCCAAGTTTAAACAATCCCATCGTTGTCCCGCTACAGTCTTGGGAAATGCTGAATGCCGACACTGTGATGGGGGAAGTCACCAAGGTACTGAATTCGAACGAAAGTCTATCGGTAGACGAAAACCTGCTTGTCACTGTGGGGTCCATCGACATGCCTAAAGGGGGAACTAAATTACCTGTTACGTCTCTGTTTGGTCCCCAAAATAGTATTGAAAGAAAAAAATCGCTCTTTTATGTACAAAATGATAACAAACTATGTATGGCCATTTCCATTGGTCTGTGTTTCCTTAAATTATGCGAAAAAGTTGATGGTGTTTCTTGGGAAAATTTAGTGGGTGGCGATTCCGGTACGGTGCTGGATCATGCCATCAAACATCGAGCAGTTCCAAGATCCTATTACAACAATATCTTAAAATCACCAAGAAAGAAAATGCAGACGGAGATGGCAATGCGTTTGTGTGAAAGAGCTGGTGTACCCACTGACAGGTATCTGGGTCTGAATGACATCGAACCTTTTGAATGTCTACTTGATGTTAGTATTAACGTCGTGTCGAATCGAGTAGGGAACAAATTCATCAGGGTGACGGAAGACCAGGAAAAGCCCCGCCTTTATCTCTATCATGTGGAGTCAGAACATGAAAAACACTGGCACGGGATTGCTAGGATACAGGGATTTTTTAAATCATCCTATTTTTGCCATACATGCTTAAAACCGTACAAAAATAAATTCAAACACTCCTGTGCCACTTCTTGTGAGGTGTGTTTAAGCGACAACTGTCCAAAATCGAATGTACAACTAGGTTGTCGTTTGTGTAATCGTGTCTGTCGGTCAATGGAGTGTTTTCAAAGACATAAAGAACAACGTAACGTCAAGAAAAAAACGTATCCCCCTGCCTGTGACTTGTTTTACCAATGCAAGATGTGTCGAGTCACCCTACAAAGACTCAAGCGTCCGCCAGAGCTTCACGTCTGTGAAGAGTGGGAATGTCCAAACTGTCAAGAATATCAAATGGGTGAACATCGCTGTTATCAGAAAAGGGGTGGGTCTCAATTAGAAAAGAGAAACAAAAAATTTATTTTTTACGATTTTGAGACGCGTCAAGATGACATATTTCAATGCCAGCAAGGATACAAGCCGTCTTCCATACGATGTAGCGAATGTGTAAAAGAGGAACGCCAGTGCTCAGACTGTAGACTCTGTCAGAAATGTCGGGATCCGTCTTGTGGACTGCAACAGCATAAAGTCAACTTTGCAGTATTACAAACTACTTGTCACCAGTGTGAAGAGAGAGAACTCGAGGAGGGTTCTACATGTTCCAATTGCGGGACACGATGTCAAACGTGTTCCAAGACCCATAAGGGAGAATTCATACATCCCCCCTGCTCCGACTCGTGTGGGAAGAGAGCTCGTATTTTCGGGAGATGATGCAGCCATACAATTTTGTAACTATGTGACAAGTAAACAATGTCAAAATTCAATTTTGATAGCTCACAATGCGAAAAGTTTCGACTTGTACCCTGTACTAGAAGTTTTTACTGACCGTCATTCTATTCGACCAAGCAAAATCATTTACAGTGGTTCCAAAATAATGTACATGCACATTGCTCATAAATTAAACCTAACTTTTGTGGATTCCCTCAATTTTCTTCCCATGAAATTAGCAAAGATACCAGAAGCCTTTGGTCTGCAAGAACTTTGTAAGGGTTACTTTCCCCATTTATTCAACACCAAAGCCAATCAGAAGTACGTGGGGCCGTACCCGGCATTAAAAGACTACGGGTACGAGTTCATGTCGTCCGGAGAGCGGAAAAAGCTTGCCGAATGGCACGCTACGAAAGAGGGCAAAACCTTTAACTTTCGAGAGGAAATGTTACAATACTATCGCTCAGATGTGGACATTTTGAGGCGAGGATGTCTGGAATTTAGAAATTTAATGATCAAGGCGACAACGATAAAAAAAATCAACAGTCCGAGCTGACGGAATTACCAAAACAACAGTCACGAGTGGGGTAGACCCATTCGATTTCGTCACTATTGCAAGTGTTTGCATGGGCATTTTCAAATGTTTGTTTTTAAAGGAAAAACATCAAATAGAAATTATCAAAGACGAGGAATCCAACTGGTATAATGTGGAATGTCCGAATGGAATAGATGGGGTCAATATCAATGAGTCGTGGACGTCTCTTGTCGACCTAAAAAAAGACGAAAGTGTGCAAATTGGAAAACGATA